AAATAAATGGGTGCTAAAATCTAAACAATTTAAATTACATTAGTAGAAAATACCAAATGGAATTTACATGTGATTCTTACACTTGTGCTTGCGATTGGGTGGTTATGCTGCCTTCTCCGTCAACGATCAAAGTAAAAAGAAGGTTCGTAAAACGTGCAAGAGCGCACCTAAAAGAAAAGGTGACGTTTAGCAAATACAACCACCAGAACCCTGCACGCACAAGTGATTGACAATTTTTGATTTAATAATTTAACGCTCGCGCGTTAACACCCCTCCTCGCAAACTTCTTGCGGCGCAACGGGGTTTGCAACTTCAACATCAAGACGCGCGAGCTTTACCACCGGTCGTGTGACCAAACCGCTTGACGTCTTCACAACCGCACTCCGGATGTGCCCGTCATTGCCTCGTATGACATCAAATACGCGGCCCCTGGTCCAGGTGTTGCGCTTTAAGTTTTCGTCTACAATAACGACAACATCGTCTAGCTGAATAGGTGTCTGGGACCCGAACCACTTCGAACGTCTTGTTAAACATGGCAAATACTCCCGGAGCCATCGCTTCCAAAATTGGTCAGCTATTTGCCCGGAAATACGAAAATTCTTACTCAGTGTGGATGCGCTGACTTCACAAGCGCTTTTCTCGCGGATGCCACTTGAAGAGCCAAGAAGAAAGTGGTTCGTGGTCAAAGCTTCGCTATCTGGTGACTCTAGCGGGAGGTATGTTAGCGGCCGCATATTGACTGTGCTTTCAGCCTCTGCGAGTGCTGCTCGTAGGACTTCTTCTCGTAGACTATTTTTCGGCAAAATTCTCATCAGAACTGATTTTATCGTGCGCACCATGCGCTCCCAGGCGCCGCCCATGTGGGGCGCAGCTGGTGGTATAAAACTCCACTCAATTTCGGGATATTTTTGCTCTACCAAGTTAAACGCAATCTTGTCGATCTCCTGTGCTAATACACGACTTGCGCTTCGAAAGTTCGTACCGTTGTCTGACGTAATACGCCTCGGTACACCACGTCTACACATAAACTGTCGCAGTACCAGCAGAAATGAGTCAGTAGAGAGTGACGCCGATACCTCCACATGAACAGCTCGCACGGTCATACACGTGAATAGCACGCCCCAACGCTTTTCATGCCGCTTACCAATCAAAACATCAAACGGGCCGAAGTAGTCAACACCCGTGTAGGTGAATGGTCGTGTAAATGCAGCGATGTGCTCCGAAGGGAGTGGCCCCATTTCTGGCACTTCTGGCGAAGCTCTGTAGTTACGGCACAGTTGACACCTCTTTGCAGTGGCTCTAACTAGGGCCCTGAGACCATGAACACAAAACCGCTGCCTCATCTCGTTGACCACAATTTCATTGTGATGGTGGTGGTACCTACGGTGCTAGAAGTCGATTACCAAGTACGTAACTCGATGATCACGTGGCAGAATAATAGGTCGCTTTACATCTGAAGATACTCCTCCTGCTGCATCTATTCTACCCTTCACTCGTAGGAGCCCATTTTCATCTATGTAAGGAGAAAATTTGAATATTTTGCTCTTACGGCTTACCCGAGCCTTAGGTTGTTTTAGTTGGTTCAACTCCTCTGCAAAGCTTTCAGATTGGCATTCTCGGAAAATCAGTAACTCGGCGCCGTCGCAAGTTTTTTCTCGTAGCAGTCTCTCGGCTACCGGATTCTTTGCTTCCGATTTCATAATAAGGCGAAGAAAACGCAGCACGCACATCTGCACTGCTCGAAGCCTTTCCCATTTACTAAACCGTGTGGGGTCTGGAACGCAACTGTTGCGAACATCCATTTCATCATTCACATGGTGGACCGTATCAAGCCCCTCCTCATGAGGCATAATAAACTCGGATTGGGGCCAGCTATGTTCTGGCGCGCGAAGGAAGTCAGGACCAGTAAACCATCGTGCGTTGCTATCCAGTGTCAGATTATCGTCCCATTTGGTGCCGTCATCTGCGACGTTTTGTTTTGACGAAACCCACCGCCATTCATTTAGCTGCGACCCCTGCAATATTTCGCCGATACGCACCGCAACAAATTGATTAAATTTCCTTGCATCAGATCGTATCCAGTAAAGTACATCCTTCGAATCTGACCAGAAAACTCGACGTGAAATGGCAACAGAAAGCTCGTCTTGCGCGAATCGTGCTAGACGCAGTCCTAGGATGGCCGCCATCAGCTCCAACCGCGGTACCGATAAAGGTTTTAGGGGTGCAACGCGTGTTTTGGATATTACCAAGCTACAATAGAACTCACCCTTAACCTCTGCCCGAAGATAAGCTACCGCTGCGTATGCGAGAATGCTGGAGTCAACAAAAACATGAAGCTCAAGGTTTTCGCAGCGGCTTACGAATGTGTAACACCTTGGAATGCGCACGTTGTTGAGGGATTGAAGTTTTCGCACCCAATTCCACCACGCGAAACGCTCTTTGTCTTGTATGGGTTCGTCCCACGTCACTCCCGATCTCCAAACGTCCTGAAGTATCATTTTGGCCTTAATTACAAAAAAACCGAGCAAACCTAGAGGGTCGAAAATCGTCATAACCGCTCGAAGGATCTCTCTCTTGGTTGGAATGCTTAATTCATCAAAAAACTGCTCTTTAAATTGCTGCACGAACATTAGTTCGTCGGTGTGTGGTCGCCACCACATGCCAAGGACATTTTCCGCATCATTGCCCGGCTCTTCAATGCACTTATCTACCAATCCAGATTGACCTGCCATAACACGCGATACTCGTTTTGAATTGGAAAGCCAGTGGCGCATTTCGAAGCCACCTTCCTTATGGATGTGTGGCACTTCCGTTGCGAGTAGGATCATTTCATCTTCTGTTTCAACACTCTGAAGCCAGTCACCAACGAATGTATTTTCTACGATGGCTGCAACTGCGGAAGTGAACTTGTCCTTAAACCTGTATGCGTTTCTGTTTTTAATATAGTTAGCTAAGGAGGGCGAACAAGATGCACCTAACGTCATGACGACCATAACGAAAGTGTCTGGCTCACGAGTTCTATCACCGTCACGCCATAGAAACTGTTGCGCGGCTTGGTCCGCTTTTATGACTCCAACCTGGTGAGACATTTCGCGAATGTCACCACACAATGCCACCGGTTTTTCACGAAAGCGAAGCAAAACACCGACCAAGGATCTCAATAGGTCAGGACCCTTAAGTAGCACATCATTCAAAGCAGTTCCCTCAACTTTCGCGGCTGCATCCCACACCAGCCGCCTCTTGCCCTTGTTGACGCTTATTACTGAAAAAATTGGAATGTACCATGCCTTTCCTCCTGTGGAAATCTCGTCTGCACTTAACTTCCGCACATAGCCTTTGCGAAGATAGTCTTGAATGCATTCTGTGATGAAGTCTTTTAAATGTGGATCTTTATCCATTTTTCTTTCCAAACACTCAAGCCGTTTGAGCGCCATTTGATACGACTGCGGTAGATCAATGCGATCAAATCTCCACAAGAGCCCCGTTTCCCATCTCCTTTCACTTTCAACATATTTTGTTGTGCTTTGCATTATCTGCCACGCACGCTCATCGTCTTTTGACATTGGAGGTTTAACAGTTGGACTTATTCCAACTGACTCAACAGAAAAGAATGATCGCATTAGGTTGTCGAGGTTGCCATCTTTACTGCACTCACAAATGTGCATCAATCTCTCGTTGGGCGACCTATCGTGCTTATCACGACCGTAGACAGACCATCCTAGTCGACAGCGCGCTGCTACCAGGCCATCGTTTTGATTTTGACGAACCTCCAACGGTACACACAGTTTTACGCGATCTAGGCCAATCAGGAGTCCAGCTCTGGATGAGTCGTACGACACTATAGGTAGTGACTTAAGGTGATCGCGCTCCCGTATGTCGCCCACTTGCAGCGATTGTCGCGGCAACTTCAAATTCGCGATGGTGCGTACGCTTCGCATACCATATTTAACAGAGTCGTTTCCTCTTGCTGAAATCTCAAAGGATACGATTTGAGAATTCTTATCTTGCTGGGTAATATTGCCTGTCCACCTGAGACAAAGATCCTCGCTAGGGCCACTAAGCTTGAGTTGTCGAGCCAGGGTATCGTCCAACAATGTACAAGATGCACCTTCATCGATAAGTGCAACTGTTTCCAGAGTTACACCGTTGGCGTGTAAAGTTACGGGAACATACCTGAAGATAGCTCTGTCATGCGGCTTCTGATGCAAGCATATCACGGAATTTTCGACTTCAGCATTCCCTGTATCATCGCTTTCATGTGGCTTAGTTTGTTGTTGAAGTCGCTGCCCATGCAGCAACGGATTATGAGCCAAACGACATCCATCGACGCCGCACCATTTGTTGGAATTGCATCGACGAACCTGGTGATTCTTAAAACATCGTATACAAAGTCTCTTCTCTTTAATTAACTGCCAGCGTAATTGCCTACTTAATGCCTTGAATTCACGGCACTCAGCTAAATCATGTGCACCTGTACACTTATGGCACGAGACCTTCTGCGACCCCGGCGTACGACTGGCAGAAGTTGAGGATGCGTCGTGGACAAGTAACCGTTCCCGGCGCCCTTTATTTCCTACCTTCACCTCTGATGGAACGCTATTAACAGGAGTAACCTGATGCAAGCTCTGGGGTGGGACGAGCCACTCATCAAACGCAATAATATCTACGCGTGCAAGACTTAAACGACGTCTACCCCATTCCAGCTTCATTTCACTTGGAAGTTTACTCAGGAGTTCGTTGAGTAGCATGGGATCGTTCAAATAGCCATCGAGACCCAGAGCTTGCATCGTCGCCCTATAATTTTGCACAGCCAGGCCGAAGCTCTCTAACCTTTCGATCCGTACAGGAGGCACCTCTCGCAGCTTACGTTGGAGAGTTTCGTGAATCACGTCTGGCCGACCGAAGAGCATACGCAGAGTTTCGATGGCCAAGTTTACCGTGGCAGGCATCATTAATTTTCCTCGGACTGACTCAAGTGCAGCGCCTTTCAAGCACTTCTGCAACCGAATAAGATTCTCTTGGTCAGAAAACCCGCAGCGCTCCGTAGATTGAACATAATTAGTAATAAATAAAGCTTCCGGCTTACCGGAAAAGGAGGGTAAGTCCTTAGTAATGGCTTGCCTCGCAGCTACATGCGAGGGCAGCAACGTTGCATCGTAAGTTGTGTATGGCCCTGACTGACCCATTGCGCCCCATGCACTTTGACTTCCGTTCGCCACATTCGGCAACCCTGATGCTGGTGGTATAAACGAAAACGGTTGAGACTGGCGAGATGTCCACACCGGCGCAGTACATGGTGGAGCATATGGCGCTTGAACCTGCGAAGCGCCCGAAAACCTATGTGCGCATGAATGCGTAACGTTACCACTCTGCGGTGCCCCTTCAGCGATTGAATAAACAAATGTCGAATTGGCAGCTGGTCTGTGACCCCCAAAATTACCTACACCGTTGTACAGCGCCGTGGAAGGGTATGAGTTCATCGCTGAGGTTCTGATACCATGTACATGTGCAGATAACGGGCCAGACTCTATAAATGTCGTCAAAGGCGCTTGCCGAATGTACGCATCGTATTTTGAGGTTAGGGCCTGAACACGTGTGGGCGGTGACGAAATTGGAGCGCCTAAATTCACATGTGTCCGATAAGGTTGCACCTGCGGATGTACAGGAAGTGACGGTTGTGCTGGCTAAAGGTGCCATCTGTGAATGCTCCCCTATATGACTGGTACCTAATGCTATTGCACCTGAAAATACATCCTCTTGCGCGGATATAGCACCGACGAATCGAGATTCCCTATCAATTAGCGCAGTTGTCCAAGTTTGTGAAGGTGCTTCGATTGTCGCGAGTTCCTGAAGTGAAGGAGGTGCGACTGGTGATGCGGTTACACTTATTATGGCCGATGCGCTGGATGACGGTACGGCAGATCCCTCAGGAATCGTATTTTCCTCGCAGCTCATATTGGTTCTTTGTACAATTTTAGGTTATACGCAAAAGTATTTTAGTGTGCTGACTGGAGAATGAAACGCGATTTTGCGAGCACGTACTTTAAGCCTTTATTTAAATAATATGTTCGCTACGCATCAAAATAAATGGGTGCTAAAATCTAAACAATTTAAATTACATTAGTAGAAAATACCAAATGGAATTTACATGTGATTCTTACACTTGTGCTTGCGATTGGGTGGTTATGCTGCCTTCTCCGTCAACGATCAAAGTAAAAAGAAGGTTCGTAAAA